CTTAACCTAACCCTAACCCTTACCTTTATGTGAATCGGCTTGCTTTAATTTTATTTTTATTTCTATTTTAAATTTTTTTCGTCGCGCTGTGATGATGTCACGTACGCGCTTTCATCAAGCGCGCTTTTGTGGACCGCGGTTTTGACGGGTCACGTTCTTAAGAGTAAACTTTATTATATTCTTGGTTTCATAGTTGTCTTTTTAAAAAAGTGTATCAAGCCAAGAGAAAAGGAAAATATACTTGATGCAGTGACCATTTTCTGTATTTTTATTCATGTTTCCCCGTTACTTTGCAAGTTGCTACTTGCAGTTTGCTTTAATAAGAAATTCTGTGATTTGCTTTTAAATATTGTCTAGTGGGATTTGTATCAGGCTGGTTTACTTTTCATCTTTGTCATGCAGAATTCAAGATTTACACTGTTTGCTTTTTATAATCTTGCCAAGAGGATATCCATTCTGTATGTAACTTCAGCTGTATGTTTTATGGATTTATTACTTTCCATAACCATTGCTGAAAACAACGTTGCACTTGATGTTGGGGATAGTTCAAATAAAATAAACGCCTTTCAGTAATTTTTAATATTTTGAATTTGTAAAAGTTTTTGAAGTGAAGATGAATGTTAGTAATGTTAATTCTTACTCAGTAACAAGTGAATTTATTTAATCACAGTAATCACACATTAGGTTTTGTGCTATTATCTGTTTTTCCCACACTCCTTTCTGAATTAAAATCCCAATCTCAAAATGTGTCATTCTCTCCCTCTTAATTTGCAGATGCACATTACAAAAGGCTTTGGATCAAACTATAAATTAACTAGGTACTCTCATGGCTATACCTGGAATCCTGGATTTCTTAATGGAATCGATTGGGGTGGGGTGGGGGTTTAACCTCAATTGAAAACTTTAATCAGTCTAGTGGCAGTTCCATAAAGGTTAGAACTTTGGAATACTTGAGCAAACTTTAGGTCCCAGGGCTGGTTGCTTAAAGTGTGACTGATTGTGTTTCTCAGCAGTGAGTGTTTTAGTAGTATGATGAAAAGCATGATTATTTTATTGACATTTCTGACATATGTGCCTAAAAACAAAAATCATAAACATTTGTCATCTCAAATGGCCTTACCGTAGACTAATGAAGGTAAGTGGCAAATGAAAAGGCCCCAAGGTGCTCTGGTGTGAGAAGTAATGGTACGTTCTTTGCAGAGGTGGGTTGATCCTGGTTCGGCCGAATCGGTAGTCATATTTTTGCAGAACCAGCCGCGACCCAGGTTTGCCACACCCCTGAACCAGTTCCCAGTTCCCCAGGCTTCCTGCTGATGCCGCCGCCATGCTCATGAGTAAACTGCAGATTAGAGGCAGATGGCCGATTCTGGCTTGCTCGCTCAGCTGCTCGTCCCCCGGAGTTTGCAGGCAGCTAACGAAACCGCTGCCTCCACTCATTGAGGAGGCTGAGTAGCAGCGGGAAGAGCATGGACTTCAACAGGAAGTGGTTGTCAGCGATGCCCTCACGTGAAGATATGAGCGGGGAGGCTGCCTCTCCCGGCCAATGTTTCTCATGAGTAAACTGCAGCTAGGATCTCCCGCATGTTGCATCCCCCTCCCAACCTGCACCTCTGTGTCATTTTTCGGGTGCCCAGCTTGCCGGGCGGCCCCTGTCCCACCCCTCAAAAGCATGCCCCAAACTGCTCAGCAGTTGAATGGAATCTTTAGCTGAGATGCAGGACATTTTTTCCAATTTAAAAATGAGAAAGACACTGAGTTTCAGTATCAGTGTCTGAGCAGAGGAGGAAGGTCAAAAGGTCATGATAGCCCAAGTCCCTATCTTTTTATACGAGTACATCAGGGGTGGGTTCCAGCAGTCACTGGTTGCCGCGCGCACATGCACAAAGCAATAAAAATTGTTCTGCACATGCACAGAAGCAAAAAACAAGATGGTGGCGCCTACGGTGCCGCCGAAATAACCGATTCAGGGGCATGGTAGCCCTGGGTCACTGCCAGTTCCAGTGACCCAGGCCGCCAAACTACTACCAGTTTGGCCGAACCAGTAGGAACCCACCACTGAAGTACATGTATAGTCCTATCTTGCCTTTTTGACTCCCCCATAAACAGCCTTGTGCAGCCATGCCTATCCTATGAAAATTTCTTTAACCAATGCATGTAGGTGATTCGGACAAGAGCTATGGCTCAGTCCACTTGACAAAGGCCTTCCCAATTCAAATTCTGCCATTTCTGTCTCTTTCCTTGACACAGACAAATGGAGAAGTCACTGTTCGACCGACTCAAAAGAGGTGAAATAGCTGAGTTTCATATGCAGACTTTTAGGGAGCGATGTTCAGTAAAGAGGTGGGGGGGGGGACATTTTTGAACTGGATATCCATTTCCTTGATCCCTTACATTGTATTCCTCAAAAGCTTTGCTTTTAATAGCCATTTTGAAACAGTTGTAATATTTGTGTCCCTGACTTGTTTTCAGGTTCTTCTGCCCTGCCCAGCAGCATGGTATACTTTGGAAGTTCTCAGGATGAGGAGGAAGAGGAGGAAGAGGATGAAGAAACTGAGGATGCAAAAGTGACCACAAACAACGCTTCATCTTCATGCCAGTCTACTCCTAGGAAAGGGAAAACACATAAACAAGTTCCTAATGGACATGGTATGTCTTTGAGTGTTGAGTTGGGGTGGAAAATATTGATGATGAAAAAGACAACCAAAGCAGAACTAGAGTTCTCTCTTCTGCCCAGCACCTTGTATTTTATGAGACATGTAACCAATGTTAGTCCTATTGAAAATTATAGGAGTTGATATCCAGCAGTTGGGGAGTCTGCCTGAAAAGCTGCCCGGAGTCCTCCGGGATTGGGCGGCCTAGAAATTTAACAGATAAATAAATAAACAAATAAATAAAAGCACCATTTTGACTCAAAACAAATATACAATGTTTTTAAAACTTGATTTAAATAATTTAATTTCACAATGTCTTGGTGTCTCCTGTCTGCTTCAGAACCGCATTTTAATGGTTTCTTACGGATTTCTTCTTTTCTGTTGAAAATGAAACCAGAGCAATGTTGATGTTGACTAGATATGCAACCAGCATTATATTCATTCCAGATTTGGTCTTAATTGTCTTAATTGCTAGCTTAGTATATCAGCACTGGCACTAGTACAGCCTACTTACCTTTTAGGCTTACATCCATTATTTCTTTGCAAATCAGTAGAGCTGCCTTAATCACAATGTACTTTCTTCACGTGACCTTCATGTCATATCCACAGATAAATTGATCAATGCCTTGTCGGTAGAGCTTGAAAAATGTATTTGGCATTGAGTAGCTGAAAGTCCTAAACTGTAACCGCCAGAATGAAATAATACCTGGGTCACCATCTCCCACAAAAGTCATACATATTCTATTGACATTGGCAGCACCTTCGCAGTAAATCAGCTCTGTGCTCTTTCTCTAGGACTCCATGATGAATTCTCCTGCCTTTGTCCCTCTGCCTTTCTTTGCAGAGCCCTGTCTAGGGGATGCCTAGTCAGTTTCTCTCATCAAAAGGAAATGTTTCTTTTCACAACTTGAAGAGAAAGACAATCTTTATGGAGCTGTTTCCTAGCTTGCTTGGTTTCTTAAGCCAGCTTTCCTTGATTCGTGTAACTAAAGTAGGAAATGTTGGTTTCATTTCTACCCGATTCTGTTCTGCAAGAGGTTCTCTTTTAAAGAATTACTAGGAACAGCCAACATTTTTCATAATCCAAATGCTTCCTTCCTCTAATTATTGGAAGTTTTTCAGGAGAGAAGTTTCTCATTACGTTTTTTCTGTTTTATTTTTGTTCATTTGAAGGAAGGGAACAGCTAACTTCGATGGCTTGTTGTTTTGTTCTGTTCTTTTCTTTCTCTGATGGAAAAATGGATTGCAGTAACTCTGAATTTAAACTAAGAAATGTACATAAAATCCATTACAGTGATCATCTAGTTAAAGTTAAAAAAAAGATAGAAATACAGATAGTACCCAACTTACGCCAGTTTATTTAGTACCCATTCTAAGTTACAGCCACACTGAAAAAAGTTACTTATGACCATTTTTCACATTTTTTTTTCTTTGCGTGTCCAATCACACTTGGGCCATTTTTCACATTTATGGCCTTTGCAGTATCCCCATGGTCACATGATAAAAATTTGGATGCTTGGCAACTGGCATGTATTTATGGCAGTTGCAATGTCCTAGGGCTGCAATGGTGAACCTTTTTTGGCTCGCGTGCCATGGGGGGGGAGCGCAGGGGGTTCGTGCATGGGCGTGCCGCACCCATAATGCAATGTGCGACACACACACCCCAGTGCGCATGAGCACATGAGAGGCGCTGCCCCCATTTTTTGCTTTTTTTGCCCTCCCCAGGGTCCAGAGGCTTTATAGGAGCCTGGGGACATAAAAAACAGCCTCCCCTGCCCCCCCCAAGGCCCTCCAGAGGCTTCCCTGGAAGTGACTTCTGGTTTGCTCGTAGGGTTGGTTTAAGCCCTCCGGAGGTTTCAGGGACCTTCAGGAGGCTTCCCTGAAGCCTCCGGAGGACTAAAAACCACCCTACGAGCAAACCGGAAGTCCGTTCCCGAACTTTCAGTTTGTCCATAGGACCAGTTTTTTTGCACTCCGAAGGCTTCAGGGAAGCTCCTGAAGCCTCGAAGGGTCTCCCGGGGGGGGGGGCGAGGGAGGCCTCCCCAGGCTCCTATAAAGCCTCTGGAGCTTGGGGAGGGCGAAAAATGGCTTTTAAAAAGGCTGAACTCAGCTGGCCAGAGCACACATGCGGCTGGCCAGCTGACAGGGCAACGCCTTGGGTGCCCTGACAAATGGCTCTGCGTTCCACCTGTGGCACGTGTGCCATAGGTTCGCCATGCCGGTCTTAGGGTCATGTGATCACCTTTTGCGATCTTCCAGCAAGCAAAGTCAATGGGGAAGCCAGATTTACTTAACAACCTTGTTACTCGCTTAACAGTGATTCACTTAACCACTATGGCAAGAAATGGGGCAAAATTCACGTTCAAACTCTTTTGCTTAGCAACAAAAAATTTGGGCTCAAATGTGGTTGTAAGTGAAGGACTACCTGTATTTAATTGATTAATTATTAGAATAAGGTATAGCACAATGGAAAGTGTTTGCAAAAGAGGAGGCAAAGTGGATGCACGTTGTAAAAAATATAGGATCCAAATGCAAATTGTAATAAATCCTAATTCAGCGATTTAACTGAATTAGTCTGAAATAATGGCATGGTTACTTTATAAATGACAAGTTGATTTATTGTATAGATAATATTAATCATTAAATGACATTGCTTCACAGCAGCTAATTATCTTTACGACATAATGAGCTTTAATAATAGCTTCACTGGCAGTATGTTCATTTATTTTAAATTTTGGGGATTCAGAAGTAAAGCGAAGCAGAACTGGTCAATAACTATTTTTGCCTTGCTTTTTAATATTCAGAAAAATCACAATTTATTTTTTTCTATTTAACTGCTTCGGCTTCCTGCCCAGTTGTGGTTTCGGTCTGTCATTTTTCAAAAGCTGCTACTGCTGCTGCTATTTCTAATTTTGCTGCTTGTCACTTCATCGTGTTGAGAGATCATTAATAGACAGGCATTCCTAGCTTAACATCGTCATTATATTTTGCAGCCATTGAAGTGGGGATGCCAATCATAGCTCCTTGTCCTGTAAGGATGAATAGAATGTTTGAATTGAGCTTAATATGTTAGCAATTCCAATTTTCTCTTTGTTGTTTTACATGTTCTCACAAATAAATGCCTGTATCCAAAAGATCTGAGATAGAACCACTGAAACTAGTTGCATAACATTTGGGTTTTTTTTCAATATTTTATTATTCTGGTGACCCTTTTTTGTAGTGGAATGTTATACTAATACTTACCCTTGTTTGGCACAGGGTAAAAGTGCTTTATAAGCCACAGATATGATTATTGTCTTGCGTACAGATCTTCTCTGGGATATAGATTGAAATGATTACAGGTAGACCTCAACTTATGACCACAATTGGGATCATAAATTCTGTTCCTAAGCAAGGTGATTTTTAAGTGAGTCATGCCATATTTGACAATCTTTTTTTTTTACCTCGTTGTTAAGCGAATTGTTGCAGTTGTTAAGTGAATCACCCAGTCATTAAGGAAATCTGGCTTTCCCCATCGACTTTGCTTGTCAGAAGCCTGCTGGGAAGGTCACAAATACTAACTACATGATTCTAGAACACTGCAACCATACTAAATACATGCTGGTCGCCGAATGTTTATCATGTGACCAAGGGGATGCTGCGACAGTCATAAGTGCAAAGCCCAGTCATAATCTTTTCAGTGGTGTCATAACTTTGAACAGTCACTAAAGAAATGGTTGTAAGCCAAGGACTATCTGTATCTGTTTCTAACTCTGCCTGTCCTATTGTGATGAACTCGTAAGGTTTTTTTTTTAATGTCAAAAGTACACTTTAATTGCAACAGTTAGCAGTGACGACATTCTCTGTTTGAAATAGAATTTATTTTTCTCACACTCTTTATCACTTTTTTCCTCTGTTTTCTTTTCTCCCCCTTTCCCTGTCCAGTCTTCAATGGATCCAGCAAATCAGTGAAAGAGAGGGAACCTGTTCAGAAACACAAAGTCAAAGACACAGTGCCAGCAAAGGAACGAAGCAGTGAACACAGGTCTGAGAGTCGAAAAGACCAGGCTGCTGCTAATCACCATTCTTCAACAAACATGGGCTTTTCCACAAAAGGGCTCACTGCTAATAACCACCACACCCTTCATCAATCGGCTCAGGATTTAAGGAAACAGGTATTGTGTGGTACATCAGTTGGGGCAAAGTGGTATCAGTTTATCTTAAGAACTACTTGTGGGAAAGATTGTGAGGGTTTGAGAAGTACACTGTGAAACAGAGTGGTTTTAAAGTCATGGGTGGTTTTTTTTTAAAAAAAGTTCCCCTTTTTGATAGGGCTTACTAAAACAAATAGCCGTTGAAAAGGTCTTGCTTTTCTGCAAGAGGTTGCTGATCATTCTGCTGCAGAATTTATGCCAAAGCTGCATTTCCGCGTAAATTACACATCACTATATTCTACCTTTTGATGTATTATTTAATTTATTTTTTAGGATTCTACCCTGGCTTTCTGCCAGGAACTCAAGATGGTGTCCCTAGGACTCTCTCCCTTACTTATTCCTCACAATATCAAGTTTAGGGTGGGGTACAGTACATTGAGAGATGATTGGGTCAAACCCAATTCAGGGAGTTTCAGCAACCAAAAGCAGACTCAAATAAGCATCTCCTCGAAACTAAGGTAGTGTGTCAATCACTGATGCAAGGTTTACAAAAACACCTGAATTTGAGAAAGACAGGTCAGCCATGATAAACGTATCATCCCCAGCTGATACAAAAAAAAAAAGGAGTTTTGGCATGCTATAGTAAATAAATAGATCAGAGCTCCTGATGATTAATACAGGGTTCGGCATTTTATTTCAATTTTATTGAGATGAATCGGGAGAAAACAGCCATCTCTATGCTGGATTTCATGCCAGCCTTTAAGACAGAAGGGCCTATCTCTCTAGAATATGTTTCCCTGGCTTGTGTTTCTTTTGTAATGACTGCTTTATTTTTCCTCTCTGTGTCATAAGGGTTCTAATCTCTCATACCTCCCTGAACTAACTGAGCCTAAAACAAGGCTTTGTTTGGCTGATGTTTGTTCAGCTGGAAAAGGCTTGAAAATATCTGCATGCTTTTGACTCTCTGCCAGTTGGCGCCCTTAAGGTAACCTCCTCATCTGTATTTAGCAATCAGGCCAGGAATCCCAAGCCGTCTTTTGTCAGTTGGTATCTTTTCTGCTTAGCTGCCTGTAAATGTAAATCAAAATTGACAGACATAAAGCCTCAGACGCAGGAGCAAGAAAGATTGATTTTGGATGGTTCAGGTGATCTTTCCTAACTAGCTGTTTTATGTGCTAAGTACGAGTGCCAGGGTCAAATGTTTCTGTCTCACCTCTTCCAACTGTTCCTCACCCCTTGGTTGACACTTGATTCTCAGCTTGCATTGTACATTTGAAGTCCCCTTTTATGTGTAAATCAAGGAATTATAGTTTTGTATCAGTCAAGCCTGGATTGGATTTGTTGGATAACCAATTAATTTGTTAACTGCTTTAAAGAGCTATTGAACAGGAATTGTTTGGTTCAGGTGTAATGAAAATACTAACCAAAGATGAAGCTAGGTGGTCAGTGGGAGGGCCAAGAGAAGTCCTTGGCCTTCATGCCCCATTCGTGGTTTATGAAAACCAGAGTAATCATTCAAACTTAGTACTAACGTTTACAGCTTTGTACTTTTGTTGCTGTGCTTGTTAAGTGCACTCACATTTGCGAACCAGTAGGGAAAGTACCGTATTTTTCGGACTTTAGACACACCAGAGTATAAGATGCACCAAGATTTTAAAGAAGTAAATTTAAAAATAATTTTTTCCCTCCCCTGCCCCTAAGAGCACTCTGCAGGCCTACTAAACCCTCTGCATGGCCCATTTTTTGAAAGGCCTGCATAGCGCCCCCTGGAGGTCAGGAAGGGCAAAAATTGAGCAAAAACACCATGTTTTTCCCCATTTTTTGCACAAAAAAAAAGGAGGGGTGGAGAGAGTTTGGAAGGCCTGCAGAATGCTCCTGGGGACTTGATTTTCACCCTCTTTTGGGGAGTGGGAAAGAGGCGTCTTATACTCTGAAAAATATGGTAAGTGAATGCCACCCCTGGTATGTATGTATGTGAATCTGAGTGTGACTGCGGAAAATAGAAAACAACAGTTTTATGTTTGAATGTGTTGTGATTTTGAACTCATTGGCTGGTGTGGGTGTAACAAGTGATAAAATCTAATGATTGATCACTGTTACTTTTTACAATTCAATTAATTTCTTTCTTATGTGCTCAGTGTAAGCACTGCCTCTAGAACCTCTATGGTGATCCTGCGCAGCAGGCAGTGAAGCCATTTTATTAGACTGTCTCACAAAAGTTGTGTGTGTTTGATTAATGGGGGGAGACATATCAGCAGTAGGAAGGTAACAAACTGCCTACCACAATTGCTTTTTCTTCCTTTGATACCAGTTCTTCAGCAGAGTATTTAAAGGTAATTATGAGTAAAATGCAAAATTTGTAAACAGTGTAACATCTGGAACCCATCTATTTTAATTGGATAGGTTGGGGTTTTTTAAATTTTGTTTTTCTTTCTGGATTGAAGCTCTTGGTTTAGCCTAATATAAATACTGTGGGGTACTTGAACCTCTCTGAGCTTGATTGTTTTCTTGCAGATATTTCACTACCAAACCAGGTAACATCATCAATGCTAGAAGAAAGTGGGATTTAATCGCTATTTATATATAGTGGTTGCCCCATCAGTGTTGATGGAAGTGTTGTTTTCCTCTTTGTGCTTCCTTGATTAGGCTGTCGTTTACTGTAGGCAAACCTCCACCAAGCAACAACTATTCTTTCTGCATTAGCAATAACACTTAGAGTTATATACCGCTTTATAGTGCTCTAAGTGGTTTACAGAGTCAGCATATTGCTCCCAACAATCTGGGTCCTCATTTTACTGAACTGGAAGTAAGGAATAAACAGGAATTAACACCCAGATACCAGACCAAGAGTAAATAGTACCCAAACGAGAAATAACCAACTCAGACAAACAACAGCCTAATTAAGGATCTATCACAGAGGTGGGTTGCTGCCGGTTCGGCCCAGATCGGCCAAACCAGTAGTAGCGGCGGCGGGAGGCTCTGCCCACCAGCCTGGACGCTTCTGTGCAAGCGCAGAAGTGTCGTGTACGCGGGAACGTACCTGAACCAGTAGTAAAAAGATTAGCAACCCACCTCTGATCTATCAAAAAACGACACTTCCACCAACACTGGCAACACTTGCCCAGCCACAGAAAGCAAGCCCCATTCCTGCCAGACCTGATGATGTTACCTAGTTGGATAATGAAATGCCTGAAAGAAAAGAACCAAACTCTGAGAGCAGCAAGGATTCTGCAGGTCAACCTTTAGCTCTAAATATTCTCTTCTATTGACACTAATATTAATAGTCAATTAATCTACAATAAGATTTATGCAGTGCAGAGGTGGGTTGCTCCTGGTTCGGCCTGGATTGGACGAACCAGTAGTGGTGACGGCATGTGCAGAAGCGTTGTGCACGAGCGAACCGCTGGCGCCAGGATTTGCAACCCACCTCTCGTGCAATGTGTCTGAATGAGACCCATTGCTCTTTCTATTGTTCTACAGAATTATCTTTCCGGAGACAGGCTTTCAGACTGGTTATTTTGCACCTTATAAAGTAAAAGACTGATTCGTGTTTAGCTATCTAGTATTTTCAGATTTTTTTAAAAAAAAATCTGTTTAGAAACAAATTGGGGATTAAGATACGTATGGGCAATTTTAAAAAGACTATGCACTCATGCAGTTTCGTAACTGGCTCAGAAAGAACTTGCTGCAGGTATTATTTAGGTACTTTTTGTGTACCGAATTAGTTATGGTAAGTTGCAATTTCTAAAATTTCCCCTACAATACCACGCATTTTTATCTTGGCAGTTTTATTATAGATTGCATTCCCCAATGATTTAAGGAGATTGCATGCATGAAGAGAAACTGACATAAGGAAGGTTTCCCATCCACTACCATCGCCCCCCCAAGTGTTGGAAAACGCAGCTGTTTTAAAGATGGCTATGGCTTGAGTTCATAAAAGACTTCTAAAGAAAGTTGTTTGTTTGTTTGTTTGCTAGTTTGTTATTAAAGAACCAATCCCGTTCCTCAGAATCCTGCTAAAATAATCACTTTCCGGAGCTATCTGTATTTCACTGTTCTTTGCACTTGGCTGAGTCTTTTAGTTTTATGCTTCATTTTCTTTCTTTACAATTGTCTTCTCCCTTCCCCTCAGTCACATATGCTGCTCCTTTCATTTTGCTTCTCAGATGCTTATCTCCAATTTGATCTTTCCACTTCCATTTCTGACTAATGTTGCTCTCGCGCAATCTTTTCCTCAGATATAGCCATTTATTCTCTATCTTGCTCTGCAGGCTCTCTCTTCATGAGCCAAATGTACTTCAACTTGGCTGCTATTTAGTTCCCTATTGTCCCTTTTCCCCCAGACTTATTTTTTAATGTCTTACCTCTCTATTTACTGTTGTAACCCTGTTGTGCATAAATATTCTTCACAAAAGCTTAGCCATCTGAACTTGTTAAATATTTTTGTCAGTATTTATTAAAGGTTTTGTATGTGAGCAAGTTTTTTCAAAAGACTTTTATCAAACAATCATCCTGTCTCATTCGCAGAACTTTTATAAAAACTCAATATGGCATTGTGATTCATTTGTAGTCTGGTTTTATTCTCTTATTAAAGAGAAAGCAAAGCAAAACTGAAATACAGTTCATTAGTGTTAACCACTGCTACTCTTACCCTTTTAAAAAGAAAATTCCTTTGGAAACAGTGGATCAAAGGGACCTTTCAAATGTGTGAAAAGAGAATGAGGGTTCAAAATGTGGAGAAGTTCTGCATTTTTCTAGCTAGGTTTCCAGTGTAGGAAAATAATAGGGACTTACTTTTTCATAATTTTATTAGAAATAAGGCTGCAACTTTCCCCTTCCTTGTGAAATGTTCTTCAAAAAAAATTCTATACATGTTCCTCAAATAAGATGCTAAATTGGTGATAAGGAAAACTTACTTCAAAATACTGTATTAAGAAAAATTATGTATGGCATCCATTAAGTAGGACAACTGAAGAGGCAGAACTATTCACTCAGCTTTGTTGCATCATTGTATAAACAGAAACTGCAGTGGCAGAAGAACAGCATTATTCCTCTTGAAGTATGGACAGTCAAAGGGATTTTTCCCCAAGAGTAGAAGTCCTTTACCTGGCTGCATTCTGAATTATTTACGTTCCCGATTCCTGCAGCCTACTTGGGAAATGGAAGAATAAAAAACTTGTTCCTGAGAAAAAATGCACTCACAGAAGACCTAGTATTTCTGGAGAGAACTAGAAAAGAGTTGAAACAATTAGATTTCACTGGGGTTTTTAAAATCTGTGCTTTTTATTTACTAAATTCTGAGGAATGGTAATGCTTATAAGGTTTCAAATCTAAGGAGTCAGATCAAGGCATTCGGTGAGGGAAATATTGGCATTGGATATGTTTTGTGTGTTCAAGAAGGTGTAACTTGAAAGAGTTGAATAAGTTTTGAGCATCTTTTTTATGTTTTGTTGGATTTTTATTTTTAGACATAAAACAACATCAATACATGAACAGTGTGGCCTCACGTATTAATATAAATAACAACAGTCAATTGTTACATTAATCAAACTTGTATAATCCTAATATTAACATACTTGATTGTTTTAGTTATTCAATGTTTCCATGTTCCATTCTAATATCAATAATCTTCTTAAACATGCACAGTAATACCATCTTTCAATCTCTCATCTTTCCATCTTTCCATGATTACTTATATTCAATTTATATAGATATTATAAATTCTGAAATTCCCTCTAATTCTTACTTCTACCTCTATTCTGACTTCTAACCAAGTCACTCTTACTAATCCTAATATTAATACACATATTTAATTAAGGCATTGCCCTTTTAAAGATGCATATTCTTATTTCTGCCTCTATTTCTAGTTCTTAATCAGGCCATCATATTAGAAGAAATAAGAAAGTTATGAACAGAAAGAAAGTTATCTTTCATCCTGCTTTCACTTCTAACCCTAATTCATATGGACCATAATCTAATAAACTCTCCTGTGTCTTATTCTCTATCCAATATATTGTATGTCCTTAATATAACCACTTTCTTGGGCCTGACAGAATCTGAGGTGGTTCTTTTCTGAAAGTTTGTTACACAAAGTTATGGTTCAAACCCTAATAAGGCATCAAACAGCATATCTGATTTAAAATATCTCTAATATCAGAGTATAGTAAAGCTCAGAGAATAGAATATGCCGAAAGGGTTATAGGCTGCTCACCAAATCAAGGAATTAAGAAAAGCAGCATTGCATAGGAGTATTTTGATTTCAGCTTTCTGCTAAAAGGAGTTAGATTTAATTTTAAAATCTCTTCCAGCTTTCATTTCTCTTTTATAGACTTGTACTTTGATGTTTCTGTTATATGGCTACAATTTAGCAAGCATTTGAAACAAGAACATTTTTCTGGTGGTATCCAGGAATAACCCTGGGATTGTTTTAGGTGCAGGTTCTCATCACTTGAAAGCAAAATTATTTCCACTTCAATGTTCATTGTATTTGTGTTGCTGCATCAAATTTATATATAGTTGGAAGAAACAAACAAAGTAATCTAATCCAGTGATCTGCTCGGTGCAGTCTGCACAAATCTTCTCATTTATTTTATACAGTGTAAAACAGCACACAAATTTTTTTTGTTTTAGTAATTTGATATATGTACAGAATTGCAGTTTTCTACTCTAGCCTCGCTTACTTTCACAAAGGGAAAATGAGGTAATTTCATATACCTTTGTTCAAGGTTTTATTATATTTTTTTTCTTTCCTTTTTTTGAGCAGGCAAAATAAAAACATTTTCTTAGTTACTGAAGCAAAAATTCAGGAGAGGGCTAGCTATTTCTACATCTATATAATCTTATGAATAAGAAGGACAGTTTTTGGAAGAAATTGCTTCAGTTTTATGGTTTCTTGTACCAGCATTTTTAATACTTTTACCCTTAGTCTAATATGGTCCTATTGGTCAAAGCTTATTGCATCATTCTGTTTGCTCCCTCTAAATACCTTCAGCATCCTGTTAATATTTACTTGGCTTCAATAGTTAAATAAAGTAATTTTGTAATGTTAAACCACTTCTTCATATCCTCAGTTCTAGAACTTACCTTGGCAAAGCTAGACCAAATACTGGAGAAATTCAATTAAATATTGTGAAAATATTAAGAAAAATTAATCTCAACTGATTCCCAGTGATCTCACTGGAACTTCTGGCTAACTATCGTAATATCATAATTGCTATTCCAAATTATTATTAATACAAAGTAAAACTGCTTTGATATCAAATTTGTTGAGCAATATAAAATAATAACAATAGCACATATCATAACTATTGATCAAATATTTACTATATAATTTTAACATGTACCTCCTGAGATCCTTGTCGAAGCTGGATCATTCAGAGCCAGACGAATCTCTTGGATGCATATTAGATATTATTTCCTTGCAATGCAAAATATTGTATCCTAGTTATGAATGCTTACTATTTTATGATTGCTTTTAAATTATGGTAGAAGATGGGTGTGAGATATTTTCCTTTAAAGTTGGCATTAGCTAGTCGGTTCCTAATTCCTAGTCAGACAATCAGACCTATTTGTCTCATAGGTGACAGATGGTAGATGCAGCACATAAATATTAGAAAACAAGTATTAACTGGGGAGAGATAACATGCATCTCTGATGGTTGCATTTATGTGTGTGATCTTAGGCAAATCCAAAATAGACTATAGGAGAGAAGAAAGGAGGGAAGGAAGGAGGGAATGTAGGAGAGAAGGAAGGGGGGAAGGAAGGAGGGAAGGAAGGAGGGAAT